TTTACGTTATGTAAGTTGTACTTAAATTAAAAATGTAGTAGAAGGCTTAAAAACCTCAAGTAAAGAAAAGAACTTCAATGATCCTATGTTTGTTTGTTTCCTAAATGGGAGAAAAATCTAGTCCCTTGGTAATGTCAAAGAGAAGCTACTGGCTTATGAATTGTTATGATTCTAAGTATCTAATTCTTTCATCATCAAAAGAGAATGTGATGACATCATCATTCCCAGAAGACTGAAATAATAAGCAGGCAAACTGGGGAGTGCCGAAGAACCACTACCAGGGTATCTGATTCATGACTTTTCAAAGGTCTCAGAAGGTCCTGCTTGAAAACTGTCTGCCCACTTGAGATTTTCCACATGTCTTCCCAAACCACCATGCCATAAGTGTTGAGTCTCCAAGGAAGAAACTGTGTAAAAGTCCTCTATGATCTTAGGGAAACAAAAGGTAAGAGTTTGTCCTTCATTTCAACCAAATCGAGATACATTCAACTCCTTCTCTGCACACAATTTCATATTGCATAGACGAAATATCACAAAGGAGCTTTACAAACTTGATGGCTAAAATATCAAGTCAATGTACAAATAATCTAAACTTTATAGTTTAGCCTCTAGCCCATGCTTGGAATCAATTTTATATTCAAATACTTTTGAGAAGGAGCATCTATTTTATGCTGTTATCAGTCCTATCATCTGTCTTGGGATGATGAACTTCATAATACTATTTCACTAAAGATAGTTCCTTCATAACTACATACCTCTTTGAAGTCCAAGTATTTTCTCAATTTTCTCTTTTCTCTGACACCACGCTCTGTGAGTTAGGCTGGGAAGTGGCATTTGTATTTTTCTCTTCTGCAGGAAAAGCCTTGTGTACTCTAGAAAAGACAAATGAAGTTTATAAAATCTCTTGCATCAAGGCCAGCTTAGACAAGCTAATGTCCTGGCTTCGGGCAGCTGGCTCCCATAAAAAGTGTCTCTGCAGGCTTAACTCTATTTTCATATAGAGAGACATCCAAGGACCAGAGGTGCCTTAATTCCTAGCCAATATATATTAAATCAGCTAGTTAAAGTCATGGAGAGTCACAATTCAACACAGCTTACTCTGTATTCATTGTACTATATTTAATCTATTTTTATCTGTTTCTTTTTCCTCTTAGGAAAGGATGAAATACAGAAGAAAAACAAGTCAACTGCTATTACTTTTATTGTTTTTATGGGCTTTGTACAGACAGTATCATGTCAGGTAATTTTTAAAAAGTAATGTATATTTTATTCTGGGGTTTGATAAAGATCTAGTATGTCAGAAAGGTGATAGGTTCACCCTCTGAATAAAATCAGCCTCCAAATATACCCCCGTATATATATACCAATCCAATATACCCCAAAATATCCAAATGGCATTCAAATATATCAGCATAAACATAACCTTCAGCATAAAAGTTCTTAGTTTCTAATGGGATCAGGGCTGACCACAATGTTTGTAGGCCCGTTTGTGTGAGAACAAGGAATGTTAAGCTACCAACACAGTAACCATGTAATTAAGGCAGTTAGTAAGTGTTGGAGGAAGTGCCATTGTTAAATAGGCGGCATCTTTTTAAAGAGACATCCCTAATATTGGTGGCTTCTGGCACTAGGTATGGTATTTGCAGTCCACATACGTACACAAGCAGAAAGATTTCATTGGCCATCAGCAAGTTCCATCGTTTCGAGTATTAAGTTTTTCTTTCATTTGTAACTCAAAGAATTAGGTTTTCTTTTTTAAGATCTAGTGTGTGAAGTCCTTAACTGTGGTGATTTTTTATCATGCTCATTACTGTATGTCTGCAACCAATAATGTCCTTGGCACATGGTACATGTCTTAGTCCGTCCGAGCTGCTATAACAGAATACCATGGACAGGATGGCTTATGAACGCCAGAAATTTATTTCTCACAGTTCTGGAGGCTGAGAGGTCCAAGATCAAGGCGCTGGCAGACTTGGTGCCCTGGTTCATGGACAGCCACCTTCTTGCTGTGTCTTCACATGGTTGAAGGGACAAGGGAGTTCTCTGGTATCACTTTTGTAAGGCCACTAATCCCACTCATGAGGGCTCCAACCTCATAACCCAATCATGTCCTAAAGGCCCCACTTCCTAATGCCATCATGTTGGGGGTTAGGATGTCAACCTTCAAATTTGAGGGGGACACAAATATTTTGTCCATATTATGTGTTCATTGAATATTTGGTAATGTTAGGGAATAAGATGAATGGATTGCTGGAGTATAACTCTAGTCATCTTAAATATGGAAACATCTTATGTAAGTTTAAAAGTAATGTAATGTTTTTTGTTTATCCTAAGCACAAAGAAACTACAGAAGATATATCGGTGCTGGTAAGTCCGATTTACAAATATGCTATGACCCCTTCTTTGAGGACGAAACCCGTTGGGGGCAGTGGAGTACCTGCAAGTCCTTGGTTCCTCCAGGCAACAGTAAACCAAAGCAATTTTACTGACGTATGTTGGAGATGCTCCTTTAGGGTCAGAGTACTAGGAGTCAAAGTAGAGCAGACTGGCGGGGTGCCATCTGTAATGGAGGAGTTAGAACTGGTTAGAGGAAACGTGTTACAGGAAACAGAACCCAGCTTCCAGGAATCTTGGGTCTTTTAAAGCTCTGGGAAATCACACAGGAGAAAAGTTTCAGCCAAAAGACTCTTGGGAGATTGTATTAACCACAAGCCCCCTACAAAATCACACTATCAGAATGTACGCGGAGAGGAAAACTTCCCCAAAGATTGTGTAAGACCCAAATTCCTAATGAAGTGCAAGAAGCTTCCTTTCTGATGCTTGTTGTGTCCAAGGGCCTTGTCTCAGTTGGTTCTATGCGGTCCAACACCCCCGCTAAGACCATGACTCTACATGCAGGTGAGCTGCTCTGTGCATGAAAATAATGTAGTAAGATGGTTTTCATGGGAGTGTATGTTTACCCCAGACGGAGCCGTGGCTCACAGTCAACCACCTGAAAACAGCAGGAAAACCTGTAGACAAAGGTGGGAACGTGCAAGGAAGGTCTGCTGCAGCAGAGGCTGGGAGAAAAAATGAATTAAAGTGTTTTCTGATAAAATGTACACAATGCAACACAATCTGACAATCATCCCATCATTAATATTAGGTCTTCTTCGCATCATGATTCTAAAGCCTTAATACACCGATACTCAGTAACCAAAGGCCTTGCTGTCGATAAGGCGGGTGCCTGCGTAGAAGTCCACGTCTCAGTCACACCCTGGATGCCGCAGTGCTCCTATCTGTGTACACAGGCACAAAGACGGACTTGTGATGTACGACTCAGCTCCACAGCTGCCCCTCGTTAACTCAGCCCAGGATCAACTCTCCAAAGATGTGTTAGCCGGGGTGCCATTAGAGTGTATAGCAAGGATGAAGTAAGGACCCCAGCCCAACTTCTGGTCTTTCCACCTGCTGTGTGACTATGGACAAGAGAATAAAAGGTCCACGTGCCTCAGTTTCCTTGTCTAGTAAATTGAGGATGATAATAATAGCAGTACCTATCTCATAGGGGTGGATTAAATTAGATAACACTCGGGAAAGTATTCCATAAGTATTAGCTATTAATGAAGGGAATCTAACCTCCTCTAGCTGGCTAGGGAATACTTCCCTTAGGTGAGGATATTTAAAATAAGACCTAAAGGCTGTGTGAGAATTAGCTGGTTGAAGCGTGGAGTGTTTAAGGAAACTTAAAAAAGGCCAGTGAGTCTGGAACATTCTAATTGTGGGGCCCTGTAGGAGATGTGGCTAGAACAAGGTGAAGGGTCAGATTATGCAGAATGTTATGGCCATAGAAGGAGTGTGAACATGATCCTTAGGCCAATGGGAAGCCACTGAACACTGTTAAACAGAAGAATAACATGGGAGCAACTGGAGCTTCAGGAACATGATAGAGGAAGCAGAGTGGACATATGGAGAATGGGTTGCAAAGGGCCAGGACAAGGACAGGCAGAGAGGGTATCACAGTGTTAATTTGGGGGGATCGGAATATGGAGGGTCATTATACTATTCTCTTTCAGTTTGCACACCTTTAACATTTTTCATACTGCAAAGTCTTGATTAAAGTGCACAGACGATGAGACCAATTAGAAGGCTACTGCAATAGCCCGAATAAGAGACGGTGGTGACTTGGAGTCATGCGGTGGCAGAGAATGAAGATAGGGAATGGATTTGAGAGACGTTTTGGAGATAAAACCAGCAGGGTTTAAAGATGGATTTGGGGCTGGGATTTAGGGAATGCTCTGAGTGTAGAATGATTCTCACACTTCTGCCTTGCTAATCCAAGTGGAGCCAGTGAGATAAAGCAACATTTGAAGGGTTCCTACTGTAGGGAAGACATGATGACTTCCACATTAAGCATCTTCTTCTCGTGGTATCTGTGCGAACTTCAAGCAGGAGACTTCAGAATGCAGTTGGATGTGAGTCTTAAATTCCCAGGAGAAGTCTAGTTGCACATACAAATTTGAAGCCACAGGAAAATGCCTGCAAGCATGTCAATCGATCAAATAGAAAGCCTAGGAAAAACCTTTCTGAGAATGACTCTCAAATCAGGGCTTCTGAGCAGACAGGATATTTAAGGCTAACCTTAGACAGATAGTAGGGATCTATTTCCAATGCAATAGAGGGGGGGGGGAATCAGTACTCTAGATGAATTTGGAGGCGAGGTGGCTGAAAATTGAAGGAGGTTTCATGTGATGACTGCTATTTATCAGTGAGAAGAAGGAGAATGAGCACTGTAGAAACACATAAAGATTTCTGGGCAGCACAGAGCCTCAGTCAAGGTTAGAAATCATGATTTTCCATGCCACTACCTTCAAAGTTCATCACTGCTTTTCTTACTGCTTCATGCTTATCTCGCATTTTACATCATATCATAATATAACCCTAGATTTGGTAGACATTCAATTATCTCAAGCTCAACTAGATATAGTGTGATTCTTTGCACTATTTCTTCTGATAGGTCTATGAACAGTCCATCAAAGGAATTAAAGCTTTCAGACTGGTTTTCTCCCAGGTAAGAACTCCAAGTCAAACACATGTGAGATTAATCCATAGATTGCCCAGTAGAAATTAACACTGTGTCAATAATACTTACAACTGGCCTTCCAACTGTTGGGCGGGAGATTGATCTTTGATTACCTTACAAAAAAATAAGCAGTGTCCCAGTGGACATTAAGGCCCACATCCTTCATAAGTGAGAGTATAGATGACAGAAACCCAACAGAAACCCAAACCTAAAATTATGGCAGGTCAAAATGTGAAGGGTCCATGTTTGATCATTTGCTTGATTCTCCTCATTTTGCCAACGAGGGAACCAAAGCCCAAGTCAGATAGATGGGTCGTCTGTGCACTTCACACTTTAATACAGCAGCTTTCCTCCAGCCTCTCTGCCTCCCGCTCCTTACTGTACCCACGTGTCTTTCTCCTTGGTGGTGCAGGGCTTCAGGACTTGTCTGAATTAAAACTTTGAAAGGAGATGTCCAGCTAAGATCATGATTGGATAATGGTCCATGAACCATCCTCCTATGATATTACAACTTTTGTCAGATCTAACAAGGACACATAAAGCACACCGGTTATTTTAAAAAAGCATTTCATACAAAGAACTGTTAACTAGTATAATGTTACCTAGTTAGTGGTTAACTAGTATAAGTAACTGGAAAGTCTGGAAAGAGAATTCTAAGGTGTCATGGGGGGAACAACCACAGGAAGTAACTATTTTCCCCAGGAAAAGGGCTGAAGAAACAGAAGGAAGAGGCCAAAATTGTGAAACCCTAGAAACTTGGAGAGCTTAAACTCAGTGAGCTTAAGACCCACTCAACTGGTGCTGGTACCACCAGGCTCCAGAAAGGCCTCTTGGGACAAGGAGCCAGACCTCTACGGAGGGGCACAATGAGGCTGGGTTTGACAGTGTTGGAAAAGCTGAAATCTGGATCCAGATGGAACTATATCTCGGTGGTGGAGACTTGCAGGAGGAGGAGGCAGATACGGAGCCCCCTGGAAACCGGAAAGAGCAAGTTCCTTCTTCCCCCAGGCTTGTAATTTTCCTCCAGTGCCCTCTATTAGCAGAGCCTAACAGGGTGCCTGCTGGCAAAGAAGAGATGTGGTTTGCGGAGTCCTGGCTCAATATAAGAAAGCCCAGCATAGTGCGGTGGGTTTAGTTACGAAAGATGTTAGCTTAATAACTGGCACAGGATCCCACTCACAAGACAAGTAAGGCATATCCTTGTAAGTCAGCGTGATGATTCATCACAACAATTGAACAAAGGAGAAAACCATATAATCATTTACACAGATTCCAAATTGACTACCAATAAAATTCAGTTTTCACCGCATTTTTTTTTTTTTTTGGCTTAAACAATATAAATTTATTTCTTCCCACTTCTGGAGGCTAGAAGTGGATGGTCAAGGTGTGGGAAGTTCGGTTTCCCCTGAGGCCTCTCTCCTGGGCTTTCTTGTCCTCACCGGGACTTTTTTCTGTGTGCCATCATCCACAAGCATCCATGGTGTCTCTTCTTTTAAGGACACCAGTCCTATTGAATTTGGGCCCCACCCTTATGACCTCATTTAACCTGAATTACCTCCCTGAAGGCCCTGTCTCTAAATAGCCACAATGGGGATTAGGGTTTCAACATATGAATTTGGGGGAGACAGTGTTCAGTCCATAACAGCTTCTGAAAGAGTTAATAGAATCTTTTTTTAAAAATATATTTATTTATTTTGACAGAGACAGAGACAGCATGAGTCGGGGAGGGACAGAGAGGGAGAGGGAGACAGAGAATCCCAAGCAGGCTCCACACTGTCAGCACGGAGCCAGATGCAAGGCTCAAACCCATGAAACCAAGAAATCATGACCTGAGCTGAAACCAAGAGTTGGACACTTAACTGACTGACTCACCCAGACGCCCCAATAGAATCTTCTTCTTCCAACTGTACAACAATTCTCATTCTGTTTTCATTCTTTTCCTTGATGACCATCAAGGTTGAACACCTTTTCCCATGAATATTGGCCACTTGGATATTTACTTTTGTAAAATGCCAGTTTCTATCTGTGGGTCTCCTTTCTGCTTTCTTGTTAGTGTCCTTGGATGCACAAAATTTTGTTTTCTGCGGAAGTCTAATTTATCTAATTTTTTTTCTTTTGATGTCCATGCTTTTGGTGTCACATCTAAGAAATGATTACCAAATCTAAGATCATGAAAATTTACTGTAGTTTTCTTCTAAGAGTTTTATAACTTTTGCTCTTACATTTAAGTCTTTGATCCATTTTGCATTAACGTTTATCCATGGTGGGAGATAAGTGCAACTTCATTTTTTTTTAAATGTAGATATCCAGTGGTCTCAGCACAATTTGTTAGAAAGACTATTTTCCCCCATTGAATGGTCTTGGCACCCTTTATTTAAAATTAACTAATCATAGTTGTATGGGCTTTTTACAGACTCAGTTCTATTCCATTGACCTATATATGTCTATCCTTATGTCAATAACACACTGGTTTGATTATTGTATCTTTGCAGTAAGCTTTGAAATTGGGAAGTGTGAGTCCTCCAATTTTGTTCTTCTTTTTCAAGATCGTTTTGGCTATTTGAGGTTCCTTATAATTCCTTATGAATTTTAGGCTCAGTTTGTTCATTTCAGTAAAAATAATTAATTAAATTAAATTAAATTAAATTAAATTAAATTAAATTAGCAGTTAGAAAAGTGATAGTGTATTACCTTCCCAGGGTTGCTATAACAAATCACAACAAACTACATGACTTAAAACAACATAAATTAATTTCTTCACAACTCGAGTCCAGAAATCCAAAATCAAGGTGTCAGCAGGGCCACGTTCCCTCTAAAGCCCAAAAGAAGAATTCTTCCTATCTCTTGAAGACTCTGGTGGCCCCAGGCATTCTTTGGCGTGAAAGCATAGCTCCAGTCTCTGCCTTTGTCTCTACATGGCCTTATCTGTATCTCTCCTCTATGTGCCCTTTCATCTTAAAAGAACACCTGTCATTGGATTCACAAGCCCAACCTAATTCAGAATGATGTCATCATAATTAATTACATCTGCAAAGACACTATTTCTAAATAAGGTAACATTCTGAAGTTCCAAGTGGATTTGAATTGGGGGGAGGGTTACTATTCAATGCAGTACATGTAGGAATGACATTGAATCTGTAGCTCACTTTGGGGCGTATTACCATCTTAACAATATGAAGTCTCCAATCCATAAACATGATGTCTTTCCATTTATTTAGGCCTTCTTTAATCTTTTTCAACAATGTCTTATAGTTTTCATTGTATCAGTCTTGCACCTCCTTTGGTTGTGTGTATTCCTAAATATTTTATTCTTTTTGTTCCTGTTATAAATGAAAATGTTTTCTTAATTTTATTTTCAGATGGTTCGTTTCTAGTGTATGGAAATATAAATGATTTTTGCATGTTGATCTTGTATACTGCAACAATTACTGGTTCTAATAGATTTTTTTTGGAAGACTGGTTAGAATCTTCTCTATTAGTAGAGATAGTTTTACTTCTTTCTTTCCAATTTGGATGCCTTTTATTTCCTTTTCTTGCCCAACTTCCCTAAACCTCCAGTACAATGTTGAAAGGAAGTGGATAAAACAGACAGCCTTGTCTGGTTCCTGATTTTAGGGGAAAAGTTTTCAGTCTCTCAAAAATAAGTATGATGTCAACTGTGAGTTTTACATAAGATGCCCTTTATCATGTAGAGGAATTTCCCTTCTGTTCCTAGTTTGTTGGGTATTTTTATCATGCAGGATTGTGGGAATTTTGTCAAATGCCTTTTCTACATCACCTAAGATGATCATGTGGGTTTTTTACTTCCATTTTATTAATATGGTGTTTTACATAGATTGGTATTTGTTTGTGTTTTGTTTTGTTTTGTTTTGTTTGTTTTTGGTATTTGTAGGTTGAACCAGCCTGCATTCCTGGAATAAATCTCACTTCAGATTTTAATATACTGTTGGATTCAGTTTACAAATATTTTGTTGAGGATTTTTGCATTTTTATTCATAATGGATATTAGTCTACAGTTTTCCTGAGGTGTGTTTTCCTGGCTTTTGTATCAGTAATTCTGGCCACATAGAATGAGTTAGAAAATGCTCTCTCTTCTTCAATTTCTTTGGAAGACTTTGAGAACGATTGGTGTTAATCTGTTAGATGTTTGGTAGAATTCACCAATGAAGCCATCTTGTCCTGGGCTTTTCTTTGTTGGGAGAATTTTGATTACCAATCCAATTATTTTTATTAATTCTGTTGCCTTGTTCCAGGCCTGTTAAATTTTTCTATTTCTTCTTCAACTAGTTTTGGTAGTTCGTGTGTTTCTAGGAATTTGTCCATTTCATCTATTTATCTAATAAGGTCATGTACAATTGCTCATAGTATTCTCTTATAATGCTTTTTCTATCTGTAAGGTCTGTAGTAGTGTCTCCATTTCCACTCCTGATGTTAATAATAGGAGTCATTTCTGGATTTTTGGTTTCAGTCAGTCTAGTTAAAAATTGGTCAATTTTGGGGCGCCTGGGTGGCGCAGTCGGTTAAGCGTCCGACTTCAGCCAGGTCACGATCTCGCAGTCCATGAGTTCGAGCCCCGCGTCAGGCTCTGGGCTGATGGCTCAGAGCCTGGAGCCTGTTTCCGATTCTGTGTCTCCCTCTCTCTCTGCCCCTCCCCCGTTCATGCTCTGTCTCTCTCTGTCCCAAAAATAAATAAACGTTGAAAAAAAAAATTAAAAAAAAAAAATTGGTCAATTTTATCGATATTCTCAAAGAACCAATTATTGGCTTCATTAATTCTGTCATGTTTTTCTTTTCCTCTATGTCCACTGTCTCTGCTCCAGGCCTTATTATTTCTTCCTTCTTCTTGCTTTGGGTTTAGTTTGCTATTTTTTTCTAGGTCCTTAAATGTGGAAGGTTAGGTTATCAATATGGTATCTTTCTTCTTGTTTAATACAGATGTTTACAGCTATACGCTTCCTTCTGAGTACTGCTTTTCACTGCATCCCATAAGTTTTAGTATGTTGTATTTTCATTTTTATTCATCTCAATGTATTTTCTAATTCCTTTTGTGATTTTTTTTTCTTTGACCCATTGGTTGTTTCAGAGTGTTTTGTTTAATTTCCATTTATTTATGAACTTTACAGGTTTCCTTCTGCTGTTAATTTCATTCCACTGTCAATGGAAAAGATAGTTTGTATGTTTCCAACCATTTTAAGTTTATTGAGATTTATTTTATGGCCTAACATATGATCTATCCTGGAAAATGTCCCATGTGTTGTTGGTTAAAATGTTCTATGTATGTCTGCTCAGGTCTGCTGTTGAAATCCTATGGCAAGTTTTTTTATTTCAGCTATTATACTTCTCAGCTTCAGAACTTCTATTTGGTTCCTTTTTATATTCTATCTCTTTATTCACATCCTCTGCTTGTTAAGCCTTCGTTCTCCTGATTTCCTTTAGTTCTTTTTCCATGGTTTTCTTTGGCTCTTTCGGCATATTTAAAATAGTTGATTTAAAGTCTTGTTATAGTAAGCCCAATGTCTGGCTTCCCCAGGGACAGTTTTTGTTAATTCTTTCCTCCCATCAATGGACCACACATTCTTGTTTCCTTGTATGCCTCATAATTTTTAGTTGAAAACAGGCATTTTGTATACTATAATGTCGTTACTTTGGAATTCTGATTCTTTTGCCTCCTCAGAGTTTGTTGTTCTTGCTTGCTGTGGATTGTAGTTCTTTGTCTGTTTGGTGACTTTTCCAGACTATTTTTAAAGACTGTATTCTTTGTCTTGTTTGGTCTGAGAGGTCTCTGTTCCTTTAGCTTATGGTCAGCTACTGGTTTGTTAAAGATATCCTTAAATACCTAGAGCCATAGTGGTGGTGGTTGTGGTGGTGGTTGGAGGATAATTGGAGGAGTAAGAGGAGGATGAGGAGATGATGATGAAGAAGAAGAAGAAGAAGAAGAAGAAGAAGAAGATGACGGTGGCAGAGGAGGAGGAGAATTCCAAGGGGGAGGAGGAAGAGGAGGAGGGGAAGGAGAAAAAGGGAAGGAAAGTAAAGGAAAGGAAAGGAAAGGAAAGGAAAGGAAAGGAAAGGAAAGGAAAGGAGGAAATGGAAGGGAAGAGAAGGGAAAGGAAAAGAAAGAGGGAAAAAAATAACTCTCTTACAGTCTTTGAAGATTGGCTCTGTGTTTGGGCCCTCCTTCAACACAGCCCAGTTGTTTACAACTCTGCATTAGTCTTCACTTCCTGCTTACACTGAGCCTAAATATCAGCCAGAGGTGAAATCTTAGGATCTTCAGGGATCTTTTCTGAGCATGTAATCCTGAACACATGTATGGATTCCTTAATTCCTCGTTATACAAAGGGTCTTGTTAAAGCCTTTACTTTTCAAAGAACTCTCTCCCAATTTTCTCCTCCCAGGATTTCAGCATATCTAGTGTTTATTCCAACTGTAATTTCTTGCCTCAGATGGCAGGGGCTTGTTTGTTTTTAAAATGTTTTCAAGAATTCCCCTCTACTTACCCACTTTTCCATTTTGAGAGAGTTCTGAGTTAAGTGAAACAAAAGGAAGCACTAGGAGTCCAGTCCTTTGGGGACTTCTAGGGCCAAAATGGACAAATACATTTCCTTTGGAATTAGATCCACTCTTCTCCATCCCAAAGCAGATACTCAAACTGAGAACATGGTTTGCTGTTTTCAACACCAATGCCATACTGGGAGTGAGTTGGTGCAAAGGCTAAGTTAAAATACCACAAACCTTTCCTTCTATTGTGTTGAGTCGTCCTTTTCTTGATTTAACTTTTGCTTGATTGCTCTAAACTTTTGGCTACCTTCTAGAGTTCTGACAAAGTTGATTCTGACAGTATGCAGTAATACTAGCACTGGCAGCATTTTAGATTATGAACCTAGGAAGGTCATTTTTCAAAATATGGTCTCTGAAAGTAATTAATGTCAAAAAGCCTAAGACCAGGAGATTTTGTCCAAATATAAGAGTTATTGTTACTTTATACTTAGGGTGACGTTTTAACTGTGTCCTCAAAGATCTTGGAATCACAGTGTAACTAACCTGTACACGTACTTTTGTAATGATCTGGCCATTTCTGACAAGCTGTTTCTCCGGGTTGTCATAACCATCAAGGCTTTGGATTAGGAGTAAGTAAATGCTGCAACCAGACACAGGCTCTATATATTGGTAACATCTACCACAGTTTTATTAAAAGGTATCTTGTTCACAATTCTTATGTCTTTCTTACAGTCAGTCCATGAACCTGACCACCACCAACTGGTCAGCTCCAGTTGTGTGGCATGGCACTTTCAATGAAGAAGTTTTGGAACAGTATTATGCCAAACATAAAATTACCGTGGGGCTGACCGTGTTTGCCGTAGGAAGGTAGGTAATGCCAAATGTCCTTTACATTCAAGCTTTTTATTATAGAAAATAGGAGATTATCAATAATCCCACCTCAAAAATCTAGAAAAAGTGGAACGGAATAAAGCCAAAGTAAACAGAAGTAAGGAAATAGTAAAGATGAGAACAGAAATCCATGCAACTGAAAACAGAAAATCCATAGAGTAAAATCAAAGAATCAAAAAGCTGGTTCTTTGAAAAAAAATCAATAAAATTCACAATCATCCAGGGATGAGCAAATAAGCCAATATGATAAAACAGAAACACCCACGCAAATGTGAAAGACCATGGCTATGACATTGTGGATCTGTAGGGAAAGACTTTCATAAATGATGCTGGAGAAAGTTGATGTCAGCATGGGAAAATCACAATTGCACCTTTCTACAGCATTCCATATACAAGCATATACAAACATACTTCCCAAGTAGTTTAAAGACCAAAAGTTAAAGGGCAAACCGCAGTGTATCTGAATGAAATCAAGACAGAAAAGGATTTCTTCATCAAGATACAGAAAATACTAATCATAAAGGAAGAGGTTGACAAATGTGACTGTATTGAAATTATCTCCACCTAAGAAAACATCAGAAAAACCCAAATTGAGGGCCATTCTACAAAATACCTGATCAGTACTCTTCAAAATGGTCAGGGTTATAAACGACAAGGAGAGACATGGAGACAGATTGGAGGAGCCTAACAAGACATAATGACTAAATGCAATGTGTATTCTGGATTGGATCTTGCAAACTAGAAGCCCGTTAGGGGCAAAACAGGTGAAAAAAATCAAAATCTGTGGTTAAGTTATAGTATTTAACCACTGATAATTTCCTACTTTTGACAAATGTACTATGATTATATAAGATACTAACATTAGGGGAAGATGCATAGAGTGTATATGGGAACTCTGTATAATACAGTTACACCTGTTACATAAATCTAATATCATTCCAAAATAGAAAGTTTTCAAAAAATTAAAAAAAATAAGTTCACCATAGTAGTGAAAGTGCCTGATGATAACCTTTTTTTTCTTGTGAATGCCTGACATTACACTTTTGATTACTGAGGCACTCATTTCAAAGACATCCAACTTGAATAAACATACTGCGGGCTATAACATGGTTGGTCACTAACTAAACAACTGGGTAAAGAGGCAGGTCGGCCCTCCTGTGAAATTCCCCGTTTAGAAAGGCCTGGGTAACCTATGTAACTGACCACCTGAGTGACCCCGCACTTTCCTTCCTGCACTTTCATTCCTGCTCTTAGGTTTCAAATTCTGCAATAAAGAGTGAAGCTGTGAAAGCCTTGGCACCCCATCCCCCAGCCAAATAAAGGCAGAATCCCCAAGGATCGCCCCCTTCTCTCCCTTTACCTAAGACCTCGTTCTGTGGCCCTGGGCCTACCTTGTACCCTCCAGGACTTGTGAGTAACGAACTTTGTTTTTTCAAAGTTCTCTGATGGTTGCTGCTGAGGAGTATCTTGTAAGTGTGGGCTGGTCCAGCCACAACATTGGCTGGTAAGAGAAATGTCTGTGGGGGTCTCACCACAAGCAGCAGGGGCCTAGGTGAGTCCCAGGCATTCTTGGCCAATAGGATTACTATCGAAGGCAAAGACCAATACCAAAGAGCCCTGTATTATACCATACACAGAAATTAATTCAAATGGATAACTGGCTTAAATGTGAAAGTGAAAACAATAAAGCAACTAAAAGAAAATATAGAAGCATACTTTTACTACCTTGAGGAGGCAAGGATTTCTGGAACACAGTACAAAAGCATTAACCATAAAAAAATGCGGATAAATGGTATCTCTTTGTATTTGGGTTGCTAGCTTCCAACTCAGAATATTTTAAGAGGTATTTGTCATAATTTATCTTGCTTTAATTATTAAATTACCATAACTTCAGATATTCCAAACTAGAAAGTTTTCTCCCGACTCCACCTACTATGTTTCTTAAAACTTTGATCAATACCCAGAACTTTTTTTTTTAATTTTTTTTTTCAACGTTTATTTATTTTTGGGACAGAGAGAGACAGAGCATGAACGGGGGAGGGGCAGAGAGAGAGGGAGACACAGAATCGGAAACAGGCTCCAGGCTCTGAGCCATCAGCCCAGAGCCTGACCTGGGGCTCGAACTCACGGACCGCGAGATCGTGACCTGGCTGAAGTCGGACGCTTAACCGACTGCGCCACCCAGGCGCCCCCAGAACTTATTTTTAACGATTATATAAACATTATCTGAAGCTGAGGCTTGTATGTCTGCATTATTGACTCCTCATAAATTCCTCCTCATAAAGCAAGCCACGGACATCAATCACTGCTCGTGCAAGGACCCAAGACCTTCTTGCCTACAATCCCCAACACAAGCTCCTTCCTCCCAGACAACCCTAAAGACTCTGGCTCTCATCTTGCGACAGGGCTCTGTGCCATTTACTGATCTCACCATGTTTCATTCCCCCTCGTAAGGAAGTCCTCTTTTCTCATGATCCACAGAACCCCATCAGGGAGAGGAAAGGCAGATAATTTCACTTTCTTTTATGCTACTTAAATATAACTCAAGAAGCGTATCTAATATTTAGTTTGCCTACTAGTATTTCTGGACAAACTACTACCAGTGTAACTTAAGTAGTATGCATTTCACTGCAATAGAAGACAAAGAACTTAATCATTTCTCGTTTACTTCACAGATATATCGACCACTATTTGAGGAAATTTATACTATCTGCAGATATGTTTTTTATGGTTGTCCATAAAGTCATAATTTATGTCCTGATAGATGACTTCTCCAGGATGCCTTGGATACAGCTGAGTCCCCTCCGTACAATCAAAGTGTTTGAAATTAAGCGAGAGAAGAGATGGCAAGATGTCAGCATGATGCGCATGAAGACTATTAGTGAACATGTTGTAGATCATATCCAGCGTGAAGTCGACTTTCTCTTCTGCATGGATGTAGATCAAGTCTTCGTAAGGAAATATGGAGTGGAGACTCTGGGGGAGTCAGTGGCTCAGTTACATGCTTACTGGTACAAGGCAGATCTGATAAAGGTGCCATATGAAAGAAGTGAGTTATCAGAAGCATATATACCTACTGGCATGGGAGATTTTTATTACCATGCTGCTGTATTTGGTGGCACTCCTACCCAAGTTCTCAATATTGCCAGGGAGTGCTTGAAAGGAATCATGAATGACAAGAAAAACAGCATTGAAGCAGTATGGCATGATGAAAGCCACTTAAATAAGTATTTCTTTCTCCACAAACCTGCTAAGCTCTTATCACCAGAATATTGCTGGGATTTTACTAGAACAGATATCATTAATATTCATAATATCAAACTCTCTTGGGCTAAAAAGGATTATAAACATCTTAGGGTGAAATTGTAGTTTTATAGCACTTCCTTCAGATTTCTGAAAATAAGAGCATCATTTTTGTCTTATTCCTTAGAAAATTAGCAGTTGATAAATTTTAGCACTAAAAAAAAAAAATCACTAGCAAAATGGCAAGACCGCCAATATGGAATAGTCATACTTCTCATATTCATTGTGAATTGTATAAGATGGGATACAGCAATTGCAGAATGAATGTACTGACGTCAGATGGAGATACAATGATTTCATATCCTGTGTGAATATTGAGGAGATATTATTTGTTGAACAAAATAGAATCTGTCACAAGAAAATGAAACCTGAAATATTTTTATTGATCCATGTAGATACACATTTCTCATACTGCTTAAGAAAGGGGGTTGTCAGGGTGCCTGGGTGGCTCAGCCGGTCCAACTCTTGATTTTGGCTCAGGTCAGGATTCCAGGGTTGTTGGATCAAGGCTCCCGTCAAGCTCTGTGCTGAGCATGGAGCCTGCTTAAGATTCTCTCTCTCTGTGTGTCTCTCTCTCTCTTTACCTCTTTCTCTCTCTCTCTCTCTCCCTCTGCCTCTTCCCCCATCTCTCTCTCTCAAATAAGATTAAATCTAAAAAATTAACAAAATAAAATAAAAATAAAAAAGAAAGGGGATTGTCTGGAGGTGTGGATAAGAAGTCACCGCAACTATAGTAATATCCTGTCTATGCAAAACATTAAAGATGTTAAAGCTGCCATCAGATGGACGGATCATTACTTAGGAAACTGAGTCACTCAAAAAGAACTAGGCGTTTTAAAACTATGAGATTGATTGTTATAAAAACTAAAAGAAAATGTAATAAATACAGAGAAAATTGAAAGCCCCTCCTTTACTCTCCCTTTGAAAACCTATCCCTCACTATTCCTTTTATATGCATTTATATACCCACCACATGAACACCCACACACACAGTGACACTTGTGTTTTACACAAATTGATTCATATCACACACATGCACACATACAGGCACACACAAGGATTTTACCACTAGTCAGGGCCCAGTTAGGAAAACAGATAATGCTATCCTCAGTATTTAACAGTGGAGATTTAACACAGGGAACTGGACATACAGGAGCTCATAACAGAGCTGAAGTGCACACAAGAGAAAGTGAAGCAACCCATAATTAAAAAAAAAATTTTAATGTTTATTTTGGAGAGAGAGAGAGAAAGAGAGAGAGTGGGGAAGGGGCAGAGAGAGAGAGGGAAACACAGAATCCGAAGCAGGCTCCAGGCTCTGAGCTGTCAGCACAGAGCCCGACGCAGGGCTCAAATCCACAAACTGTGAGATCATGACCTGAGCTGAAGTGAGACACAACCAACAGAGCCACCCAGGTGCCCCTAATTTTTATTTTAATGAAGGCAATAGCACTCCTAAGGCTGAAGGGACAATTGTAGAATGTCCACAAAGAGCCAGAACCTAGCATGAGCTGCCTGGCACGGGTGGGGACAACAAAGAGAGGAGTCTAGTCACTGCTAAGGATGTCACCCAAAGGAGACAGAGACAGAGACGAGAGAGAAATGTACAGACTTTTCTCCTTCTCCTGTCCTGTCTGCCTTTGTTTCCACTGGCCAGTGCCATCCAGTAGTCGGATGCAGTGGAGTCTAGGAAATGGAGGTCCCTGCCACACCGAGCAGAGTGTGGGGAAAATGAGATCGAAATCTGAGAGTAAACAGACAAATGGCTACCACAGTCCACCCATGTTGCCACAAAGCACTCATCCTCTTCCTCCTAACTCCCATAAAATGACTTCATGTTTCTACCACGCAAAACGCAACCAGCTTTTGTGTAAATAATCACACCCAGAAGGGTGAAATCCGAAGTAATGCCTGACATAGTTTCCCTCATTATGTCCAAGAATCCAGGATGACATGAGGTCCTCTCCCTCAGGACTCTATGTGGCTCTTCACTGTTTGGTGAGCTCTGATCCAAATTGTAAAGAATAACTAATACTACTCATTTAGAAAAAAAAAATTGTAAGAGAAGGAAAAGGGGAAAATAATTGGTTAACACATAAAAAGGTACATATATATGATAATGTATACTTATTCTTATAATATAAACATAAGAAAAATATACATGCCTTCTGTGGTCCTCATTTCTGTAGCTGGTTCCAAGGTCAAGTTCATATTGATCACTCCTTTCTTTTACCACCCATTCCACATTCTTTACTTTCTGCTGGAAGCTCAGATGAGTAGGGTTCCTTACTAGGAAGATGATATAAAGCTTCTTTATAATCTGAGTCTTATAATCTTTAGAATCTGAGTCTTTAGTGGGTCTTTATCAGATTGCCACAGCTTTCCCTTAACAAGGACTGTTGGATAAAGCAGTTTAAGAGGCTCCCAGGGAACACCTTGAACTCTAGATACAGCCCTCATTCCACCATTGTGGCATAGCAACCGACTTTCATCTTGATAATCAGTTCCCTGATCCAGTACAGAGACCCCTTCTCTGGCTGCTGATCCAGCACAATGAGAATGAAAAATGGCCAGGGGGGAGTCTCAGATGCCCATTCAACAGGACCATCATTTTGTTTCCTTGTACACGAGAACCTTCAAACTCATCGAGCCCAAGGTTGCAGAGAAGAAAGTAAAAATGGTTCCAGCAAGGGCGCCTGGGTGGCTCAGTCGGTTAAGCGTCTGACTTTGGCTCAGGTCATGATCTCACGGTCCGTGGGTTCGAGCCCCGCGTCGGGCTTTGTGCTGACAGCTCAGAGCCTGGAGCCTGTTTCAGATTCTGTGTCTCCCTCTCTCTGTGACCCTCCCCGTTCATGCTCTGTCTTTCTCTATCTCAAAAATAAATAAACGTTAAAAAAATTTTTTTTTAAAAATGGTTCCAGCAGATTATCTGGTGTAATTGTAAAACAAAGCCTCACATCTCTACTTCTTGGTTCCAGGACCCATGCACTGTGGCTTTGAGGAAGACGATATGACCTAGTGACTACTATTTAATTCCTTTAGAACATTCCTTTAGAATGGCACCCCGACCTCACCAGGTGTTGTCTTAGAGCTGATTCTGTGACTGAGGCTTCAGTAGGCTGCTTCACAAAGTTAGCTGCTTCTGGGTCATGAGTTATAAGGTAACACCAGTGAATTCCATGGACAGGAGCCCACTGTTGCACTTAGTTGCCAATAAACTCTCTCTCTTTGGCAGAGGCAATGAAGAAAACATTCTGTAAGTCCGCAAGTGGTAGTGCTGGAAGAAGCACTATGGGAAAGGAAGGTATATCTGTACCCAGAATATATTTGTTTGGGGACAAATTTCTTCTCCTTCCCTTATGGAAAAGCTCCAAGGTTACCAATATGCTGCCAGGGGCCAGACAGTCCCTCAGAAGAAAGGTGTCATATGATGTACTCAGGGAGGCCTCTGCCGCCGGGTGGTTGCACGTTTAGCAGCAGAGAAAGCCAGATCGTCACTGATGAGAGGAAGTCTATCTTACTGAGCCACTGGATAGCCTCTGTCTCTGCCACCAAGGCCACTTTGTACATGGGCCATCAAGAAAGCACTGTGATGAAAGGGGCGCCTGGGTGGCGCAGTCGGTTAAGCGTCCGACTTCAGCCAGGTCACGATCTCGCTGTCCGTGAGTTCGAGCCCCGCGTCAGGCTCTGGGCTGATGGCTCGGAGCCTGGAGCCTGTTTCCGATTCTGTGTCTCCCTCTCTCTCTGCCCCTCCCCCGTTCACGCTCTGTCTCTCTCTGTCCCAAAAATAAATAAACGTTGAAAAAAAAATTCTTAAAAAAAAAGAAAGCACTGTGATGGCTGCAGAAAGAGGCTGGCTGACATCACGGAACAGATTTTTCTCTACTTGATTATTGAGAGTCTCATCTACCAAGATTGCTCTTTGGTGAGTATTTTCATGGGACACTCACATCCTTACACTCTGTACCTATTTCAGAAGCCCATAGAGAACTTCAGACTTTCTTGTCACTGAGTTTTCAATCTGCCTGAGTCCAATCTCACAGAAATGACTTCCACTGATAATGGGTTACAGCTGCATACACCCAAGCTTTTTGTTGGATCAGAAAGCATTAAGTTCACAATGGGTAGGAGAGGACATAGTTCAGGTAAATTTAGAATCCCATGTGCCTAGTATTCTCTACATGGCCGTGGAAAATGCCCTATCCAGTATCTATATTTGCCACGTGAACCTGTTCAGGGTCACAGAACTTTTCTTGGCAGACAATGCCTGACATAGGGCCTTCTCTCACCCTGGGTCTCACTCAAAATTGGCACGGTATTGGTTTCTCAACACACATGTCTGAGTGGCACTCAAGCACAATACACCTTGCTTTTAATATCCAAAAAGTCCCACTGAGCATATTTAGGCCTCTGATTTGGTGATATGTAGTTCAAGGTGCAGTAATTTGCCTAGAACCAACAACCCTACATGCTCCTCAGAAACGTCACTGATGTGTGTCAGGCCCCTGAATTTTTATGGGGTTTCTCTTCCACCTCGTGGCACACATTTGTATTAGCATGACATCTGAGATTCTTGCTTCTTTCTGCTCAAAATGCTCAGCATGATGTTAATAATGGTATCCTGTGAGATGTCCACATGGTCGAGGATGCTGTGGATAATATTATGACAACACAGGAGAGTTCACATAACTCGGAGGTTTACTGATGTCTCTGCCAGGTAAAAGCAAACTGCTTTTGGTAATCCACACTAACTGATATAAGGAAAAGCATCTGTCACCTGTAGACCACACAACAGGGACTGTGTTCATTTGCTCTAGCAAACATACGACACCAGAAGTTACTGTGATTGAAGTCACCACTTGAGAAACTTTACAATGATTCCCAGGCATTCAACCAATGAATCTGTCTCTTATACCGGCCAAACAAGCAAAGGTATCAAACAATCTCAGGTAAGTGTACCTGTTTCAATAGCTTCAGAACTTCAGCTCAATCCAATTCCATTTGTCTTAATCTAATATTATTAGATATTAAACAAGGATGTGACAGGAATCAACAGCCTGCAGTGTTTGAGTGTTTAATGGTAACACTAATCTTTACAATCTCCACAGGGAGGTGTTATATAACTTTTTTCTTAAATGTTTGTTTATTTTTTTTTTCAACATTTATTTATTTTTGCGACAGAGAGAGACAGAGCATGAACGGGGGAGGGGCAGAGAGAGAGGGAGACACAGAATCGGAAACAGGCTCCAGGCTCTGAGCCATCAGCCCAGAGCCTGACGCGGGGCTCGAACTCCCGGACCGCGAGATCGTGACCTGGCTGAAGTCGGACGCTTAACCGACTGCGCCACCCAGGCGCCCCAAATGTTTGTTTATTTTTGAGAGAGAGAGAGAGAGACAGAGCATGAGCAGGGGCGTTTATTTTTGAGAAAGGGAGACACAGAATCTGAAGCAGGCTCCAGGCTCTGAGCTGTCAGCGCAGAGCCTGACGTGGGGCTGAAACACACACCGTGAGATCATGACCTGAACCGGAGTCGGACGCTTAACCAACTGAGCCACCCAGATGCCCCGGGGTTATATAACTTTTGATTTACCATTTTAGTGGATTTACACTAAAGTGAGTGGAAATGGATTTCTACTCACTCTGTTGAGTAGATCACCATGCTACTTCTAGCCTCTAGAAATTATTGTCAACTCAGATCTAATGTCCATTCTGCATTTTCCTCCAAGGACACAGTCATCCTACTATACGACCACAGATCCTCCCTTGGGGTGACATAGACTCCTCTTCAATCGAGGGACTCCAGGTCTGTAAACTGGCTTAGGTGTGGGAACATGAGACACCATAACCTGTTATCATGGCAACTGAAGTCAAGTTTCTGCTCACCGGGTCTAGAGGTTCCCCAGTAATGTAAACCCCACAATTCTCATTGAAATCTGAGAGTCCATTTCCATGTCAGTATTTGATGGTTTCCTATCTCACATTTAGGTTTTTCATCCATTTTGAATTTATTTTTGTGTATGGTGTAAGGAAGTGGTCCAGTTTCATTCTTTTGCATGTTGCTGTCCAATTTTCCCAGCACCATTTGTTGAAGAGACTGTCTTTTTCCCATTGTATATTCATTCCTCCTTTGTCAAAGATTAATTGACCATATATATAGTTGTGGGTCCATTTCTGGGCTTTCTATTCTGTTCCATTGATCTGTGTGTCTGTTTTTTGTGTCAAAACCATACTGTCTTCATGACTACAGCTTTGTAATATAGCTTAAAGCAAAAGTGAATATTATTATCCTCTCTCTGTATCCATGCCCATTTTATATAGCCCCAGTAGATGTTCTCCAACAGCCAGACATGTGAATATAGAACAGCAAGCTCTCAACCAACTGACCAGAGTACTGTAGCTACATGAGTACTCTGAGATGAGATCAGCTAAGCCTGGCCCAGAACAGCAGCAAAGGACCCTAGACTCATGAGCAAAAATAAAGCATCATTGCTTTAAGCTATTAAGGTTTGGGTGGGTTGTTATACAGCAAAAATTAACTGATTTCAGAGCACTTCTAGTCTTGGGAACTATTATTATCAGTCAGGGTCCAATCAGGAAAATCTGGGTATTTCAAATGGGGGATTTTGAGAACTGGTTACACAGGTGATAGAATTGCTAAGGAGCTAGATGGGATAGTGAGGAAACTGAGAAGCTGCGGCCATCCCAAGAGCCAGAAGGGCACAGGAAGGTGGTGGTACCAAAGGCCAGAAGCCAGGGTCATCAGTGGGGGCTGGAACCCACTGCAACCACGAAGGGCACAGCTATCTGGTGGGAGGTGCAGTCACAAAGTAGACTTTAACTTTGGCGTTACACTTTTTCTTTAAGCTCACTAGTGCCATTAAATACAGCCATTTCACCTGCTTGTTGAGCAAGTTAACATTTAACTTATTTCATTAAATAAGTTAGTGTATGTGCATAGTTCAGTGTCTGGTGCATAAGTGTTATAAGTCATCATTATCATATATTTTTATGGCAAAAACTATCATTGCCCCAAAGCCTTTGCCTTTGATGAGCACCTCATTCAATGAGAGCCCAGGGACAATGTCCTGTTTACTGCTATATTACACAGGCTGCCAGAAACCTATCTCTGAATATTAATGTCGTGTTTTTATTTTTTTAATTGACTTTAGACCCAAACAAGGCCTGAAAACAAATTCTAGATTCCCCCTATTTCCCTGAGTGTAGTTGCCTACAAACCAACCCTCTCTTTGGTACTAAAACCTGATTCTAATTCATCTAAACAAAGAATTTATAAAATGGCATGTTGGGTAAGAAAATTGAACCCTCAAATCTTAGTAGTCTTAACACAAAAACAAGTTTCTCACTCACCCTACATTTCCAGTGAGGGTGGGAACCAGGAAGTCTCCTCCATATTGTCACTTGGGGACCCAGAACGATGGAGGGTCCACTATCTGTGACATTCCTAGTCACAATGTCAGGGGAAGACACTAGAGAATCATGCAGGGGCTTTTCAGTGCCTCAGCCTGGACTTAAACCATGCCCTGGGCTAGAAGATAGAGTCTTCTCTGCAAAGGAAGGGAGAACCAGATAGTGTTGATCAGCAACAACGTTTACCACAGAAACAGCGCCCAGTCCTTAGCCAATAGCTGCTAATATAAAGGGGCAAAGGGAGGGAATACACAGACAAGATCCTGCCACAGGGGTAATCTGTTTGAATACCAATCCTGATCCCATCACTCATTATCTCCCTGCTGATCTCCATACCCTTGAAAACATCTTCCAGAACATTAGTCCTTGATTTTATTACAAATAATTTCAAATTGAACCCCCCTAAGGTTCAAAATCCCAGGTAAGAAGAGAATCTGATTAGCATGCCAGGTAGTTTAGGTCATGTGCCCATGGTTTAGTTGCAAAGGGCAGGAAGAGGAAATTTCTGCCTCTTTCAGCTTTCACACTTGGCAGAAGGATGCTGTTTCTTCTTGAATTTAAGATTCCCTGTAAATGAGGGGTGTTCAGGTTTCTGGGCAGCCCAAACAAAAATGTGCCCTGTATCGTTTCAATGATTTGCATATTTACAAATTATATATAAACAGATTTATACAGCATGTGCCCCTTTTTGGCCTGGCTTCTTTCACAGTATCATTATGCAAAGGTCCATTTAAGTTGTTGCACATATCAGTGCTGAGTACTATTCCATTGTAAGGACATGCCACATTTGCTTAGCCATTCACTTGTTGATGAACATTTGTAGTCTCTACCTTTTGGCTACTGCCAAGAAAGCTACCAAGAGCAGTCATGAACAGCTTTTTCTGGACATGTGCTTCTATTTCTCTTGGGTAAATATCTAGGAGTGGAATTGCTGGATTGTCCGGTAAGTGTGTGCTTGAACTGTTAAGAAACTGCCAAACTCTTTTCCAAGATGGTTGTGCCATTTTACATTCCCACCAACCATGGATGAGAGCTCCAATTCTCCAATTGTCATAATGCTTGGTATGGCCAGTTTTCTTAATTTTAGCCATTCTAATAGGTACGTGGTGGTATATTATTGTGGTTTTAATTTCCATTTGCCTGAAGACTAATATGATTTTTTCATATACTTATTTGCCTTCTGAATGTGTTTTGTTTTGCAAAATGTCTGCTCAAATACTTTGCCCATTTTTAATGTATTTCTTGCAATCTGAAGTTTCCTTTTCATTGTCGTAACTGTTTCTGCTCCTGTTTTCTACTATACATTCTATTGTTTTAGATTTTACATTTAGGTTAGTCATCCATTTGGGGTTAATTTTTATACCTGGTGCAAAGTACTGATCAAAGTTTGTTTTGTTTTGTTTTTTCTTTTGTTTGTTTGGGTTTTGTTTTTTGTTTTTTGTTTTTTGTGTTTTTTTTGCATATGGATATCCAATTGTCCTAGACCCATTTTTTTTTTTAATTTTTTTTTCAACGTTTATTTATTTTTGGGACAGAGAGAGACAGAGCATGAACGGGGGAGGGGCAGAGAGAGAGGGAGACACAGAATCGGAAACAGGCTTCAGGCTCCGAGCCATCAGCCCAGAGCCTGACGCGGGGCTCGAACTCACGGACCGTGAGATCGTGACCTGGCTGAAGTCAGACGCTTAACCGACTGCGCTACCCAGGCGCCCCTAGACCCATTTTTTTAAAAGACTATCCATTCACTACTGAATTACCTTTTCTTATTTGTCAAAAATCAATCATCCATATACGTGTAGATCTATTTCTAGACTCCTGAGTTTGTCCCAATGATCTGTATGTCTATCTTAAACCATATGGCATTAATTACTGTATCTTTAAATCTAAAATTATGCCAAAATAGAAAGCTTATTTAAAAATGCAAAAAGATAGAGACCTAACTGAAAATGAACAAAAACTATGGTCAGTTTACAGAGAAGGAATTACAATGGCTCTTAAATGTGCAAGAAGATTCTCAACATCAGCCATAATAAAACAAACACAAATTAAGGCTGAGTTAAGATACAATTCACACCCTCAAATTTTCAAATACCAAAAACTTTAACGACACACTTTATATTGATAAGGATGTATGAAAATGGGTACTTTTACCCACTGGTGGCATGAGTTAAATTGGAACGACCCCTGTGGAAAACAATTTGGCAACATTTACTCATTTGTTAAATGGGTATAACCTTTGACCCAGCAAGTCTGTTTCTAGAAATTTATCCTGCAATATAGTTCAATAAGTGTTCACAGATCATGTTCAACTATTTCCACTGTGGCATTTCTTATAATGGCAAAGACAATAAACAACCAAAATGTCCAGCAATAGAGAACTGGTTACATAAATGATAAAGTCCTATAATAAACCACATTTCACTAGCAAAAGAATAAGTTAGATGTATGAAATGTAATGGAATGATCTTCAAAATATACTGATAAGTGAGATATTCAAAGTGCTGAAGAATTATTTTAGGATGCTGCCATTTGTGTGAAAAGGAAACCTATACACATTAAAAAATATATATGCCCTTATAGGTGCAGAATAGTTATGGAATATAAAACTGAACAGTGGCTGTCCTTGGGGATGAGATAATGGAGTCAGTGCTGAGGGAGAAGATAAGCATTATATAACTTCTCCTCTGTTTGAATTTTTTTGCTGTGTGTGTGTGTGTGTGTGTGTGTGTGTGTGTTTCAATTAGAAAATCTATTTTAAAAGAAATGTATACTAGGGGTGCCTGGATGGCTCAGTCAGTTAAGCATCTGACTTCGGTTCAGGTCTGATCTCACGGTTCGTGAGTTCGAGCCCCGCATCAGGCTCTGTGCTGACAGCTCAGAGCCTGGAGCCTGCTTCCAATTCTGTGTCTCCCTCTCTCTCTGCACCTCTCCCCCTCATGCTCTGTCTCTTTCTCTCAAAAATAGATGCTAAAGTTAAAAAAAAAAGAAATATATACTAAAGGTATGCCATCTTAAAACAAGAGTGATTATCTCAGGAGAGGGTGATTATATTTGATTATCATTTTCTTCTTTATGCTTTTAAGCACTTAACCAATTTTATAACATGAACATGTGCTATTTCTATAATCAGAAAACTAAGTACTCTTAAAACATTCTAGAAAAGGGTAAGAAGGGATTAACTTTACCTAATTGGACAATGGCTAAAAGAGGATGAAGAAAAAGATGGTGTACTTTTTTTTTGGTCATTCATTTACACATATATACACACAGCACACAATTCAAAATATATTTCTGCAAGTAAAAATCAGTCATCAAGAAAGGTAAGGAAAGGGTGCCTGGCTGCCTCAGTCAGTAGAGCATGCAACTTTTTTTTTAATAATTTTTTTTAAATGTTTATTTAGTTTTTGAGAGAGAAAGAGAGCACATGTGCAAGTGGGGGAGGGGAAGAAAGAGAGGGAGACACAGAATCCAAAGCAGGCTCCAGGCTCCAAGTTGTCAGCACAGAGCCTGACAGCTGCAAGATCATGACCTGACCCAAAGTTGGACGCTTAACCAACTGAGCCACCCAGGCACCCCAAGCATGCAACTCTTGATCTCGGGGTTGTAAGTTGGAGCCCCACACTGGGTGTAGAGATTATTTAAAAATAAAATCTTTAAGGGGTGTCTAGGTGGCTCAGTTGGTAAAATGCCTGACTCTTGATTTTGGCTCAGGTTTTGATCTCACAGTTGGTGAGATTGAGTCCCACATTGGGCTCCATGTTAGTACAGAGCTGCTTGGGATTCTCTCTCTCTCCCCCCTCTCTCTGCCTCTCCCTCTCTCTCCCAAAATAAAAAGCTTAAAAAAAATAGAAAATCTTTAAGAAAGAAAGAAAGAAAGAGAGAAAGAAAGAAAGAAAGAAAGAAAGAAAGAAAGGAAGGAAAAAAGGTAAGTAAGGAAGTACAACAAAAGAAACTAAAAGCAAACCATCTTTTAAAATCCTTTTTCAAATGGGACAAAGTTCTACCATCTGGTAGCAATGTGAACTTGCAACCACATGAATCATTATGACAGTATCATTGTGACTTTTGAACGCTCTCGTCATCAAAAGAGTCTGGTGACATCACCATTAGCAAAAGATTCAAACACCAGGAGAGTATTTTACAATATCTGATTTTTTTTATGAAGACCCAAAAATATGATGATTGGGAAACATCCTAGGACTTCTAACATCACGAAAACTAATGGTAAGGCTCTTAGGAAGAAACTATGAAAGGTTGGGTGATCTGGTAAAATCATACGTAGGGGTCATCCCCAAACCTTGGCCTTGAAAGTATATTGTGCAACATAGATGACACTTCAATATGGGGCTCAAAGTCACGACCCCAAGATCAAGAGTCACATGCTCCACCAACTGAACCAGCCAGGTGCCCCATGGGTAAACAGAAATCCTATTTAACACCTTTAACATAAGCTCAGTGCATTGGCTAGAGCCAAATATTCCACGTTAGTGCTTAATGCCTTTAATTTAGATTTTTAATCACTGTTTACAAGAATATACCTTTCAGAGAGCTCGTATATATTTTTAGTTTACTTGACCTATAGTCTTTGAGTAAATTATTAGTCTCAATACCTTTGTGAGGAAAAACTATATAAAAACCAACTTTGGAGGTAGAATGTATTCCAATACATAAAAACATCTTCATAAGGACCTCATTTTCTTTTCACAGAAGCACAAATGAAATAGAATGAGAGTTTTATTGAATTTCCTTATTCAGGGTGATAAAGAAATACAAAAGGAACATCACACTGTACCTAATCTAAAAAGTATCAGTTGGCATACTAAAAGGGATCTTTGTAAGCACTTCACACAAAACTTAGGTTTCCCTAAATCTGCCTTCTTCCTTAGGCCAAGCATTCTAGACTCAGCCAAATTTCCATAAATTAATTTTATAATTAATTAGTTACTAGAAGATGGCAAGGAAGTTGTTTCTTACTTTCCAAAAAACTCCTTTTCTTCTCTTTTTTTTTTCTAGGAGAGAATGAATTCTAAGTGGAAAATGCTGTTATTAACTTCATTTGCTTTATTGCTGATGTTGATTAAGCATCGCTCCCGGTAAATATACAAGATTGATGAATCATCATCTTTAATGATTGGCAGAGTTGACCTAAAATGCTGAGTTTTGTCCAAAAAAGGTTAATAAACACTCCCTAAATTAATCAGAGAGTATCTCCTCTTTGAGGAACTGATTAAATTATAAATATATTAATTCTTTCATTTTTCAACATTCAACAAATATTTATTGAGTACCTTTTTGGTGCCAGGTCCTGTCCTAGGTGCTGGGAACTTATGCAGCTTTACATTCCAGGTCGAGAAGATGGACGATAAGCAAAGAAATCTATAATACAATGTTAGGAGCTTTGTATTGGTTTTAATGTTTATTTTTGAGATAGAGAGACAGAGCATGAGTGGGGGAGAGACAGAGAGAGAGAGGGAGACAGAATCTGAAGCAGGCTCCAGGCTCCGAGCTGTCAGCCCAGAGCCCATCGTGGGGTGGAACCCATGAACCACGAGATCATGACCTGAACCGAAGTCAGACTCTCAACTGACTGAGCCACCGACGCACCCCAGGAGCTTTGTATTTTATATAATAAGGCTACAAAGAAAGAAATAAAGCAAGATCAGAGAACAGAGAGTGTTGGGGGACTATTTTAGATACATCTTAAGCTATGACAATAAGAACACGACTCAAAGAAAACTACTATCGAAATATAACTGTACTGGAGAACACATCTGTTAACCTGCTAAAGTTCTCTTATAGAAAAATTCACATTCTTACCTCCTCCATGCCTTCCTCATCTTTATGGTCTTTTTAAATAAGCAATGCAATGTTACCGAATGCTATTTGAAAATCAGCTATATTGTGGGAGCTAATGTCTTTAAAAATTAACCGTATTGTTTTGGTATCATGTTCTACATGTTATTTGTCCTCCTAGGGTGTTATGCCTTAATAGAAAGGTCTATCTTAGTCAAAAAGGAGATAATAGATCAGAAGCTCATTGCAGGCCCGGATTCCAGAACTGGAATGTCCCATCAGAACCAGATGCTATGCATTCCAGAACTGTAGCATTATGCCTGGCATGTAGTAGGTGTTTAGTAATCACTCAGCTAACAAATGAGTAAATGAATTGAACTGAATTCTAGATTTTTTGTTATTCCAATTGTAATAGGCGTTTGTTCAAATTTAACACTAAAATGTCTCTTTTTATTTATGTGAAGAATAAAGAACCACCTAGAGAAGATAGATCTCTGCTGGTAAGAATCTGTTCTGTAAATATTCTACAAACTGTATTTTTTTTTTTTTTTTTTTTTTTTAAATTTTTTTTTTTCAACATTTATTTATTTTGGGGACAGAGAGAGACCGAGCATGAACGGGGGAGGGGCAGAGAGAGAGGGAGACACAGAATCGGAAACAGGCTCCAGGCTCTGAGCCATCAGCCCAGAGCCTGACGCGGGGCTCGAACTCACGGACCGCGAGATCGTGACCTGGCTGAAGTCGGACGCTCAACCGACTGCGCCACCCAGGCGCCCCTACAAACTGTATTGAGGGCAAACTGGCTGGAGTCGAGTGAGTTCTAATGGTAATGGCAATCGGAAAGCACATAAAACTGAATTCTCCAGAGACAACCACTGACAAATTTCTTGGGTATCAGTTCAGAAATAATCGGTGCATGTGCATATACACATGTATGTGAGTTTGTATGGACATGTATATGTGCACATCTCCAAATTTTGCTCCTTCAACACATTTACCTGCTTATACCAGATAAATTTTAGACATTTGCTATATTTGAAGTACCTCTGTCCAGGATATTTTTCTTTAGATTGACAGCCATCTGTGGTCCACCACATTTTCTACCATCGACCATTGTGTAGGACCCAAAAAATTATTAAAACCAAACCTCAAAAAAAAAAAAACCTGTTCTTAAAAGTTCTCCTTTTGTCACTCTACATGTTTAGTGCAGTTAGGCATGGAAAATTTGGATTTCGAAAGAGTATGAGTCTTTAGCAATCCTATATTAAAATATCTTTGGTTAAAAACACCTCCGAAATGTCAAGATGGGATGCGCTTTCAAAGTCATTTTTTAATATTTGATTTTGAAATAATTACAGATTCATAGGAAGTTGCAAAGATAGTACAAAGAGGTCACATGTACCTTTCACTCAATTTCCCCCAGAGTTACATCTTACGTAACTGTCATGCAATATCAAAATAGGAAATTGATGCTGGGACAATGTATGGATATAATTGTATAACATTTTATCACATGTGTAGATTTGTAGATCACCAAGGTAATCAAGATACAAAATGATTCCATCACCACAAAGATCTCCTCTGAGCTACCATTTATACGCACCCCAACCTCCTCTCCTCAACCCTTCTAATCACTAGTACCATTAATCTATTTTTATCTTTACAATTTTGTCATTTTGAGAATGTTTTATAAATGGAATCATACAGTGTATGATCTATTGAGATGAGCTTTTTTCACTCAGGATAATGCTCTTGGGATCCAACCACCTTGTAGTGTATCTCAATAAATCACTCCTTTTTTATTGCTGTGTAGTATTCCGTAAAGGGACGTACCAAAGTTTGCTTAACCCTTCACCTACTGGGGGACATTTTGGGTGACAATTCTTTTCTTCCAGCACCTGAAAAAGATTTTTCCACTTCCTTTTGGGTCCATAGTTTCTAATTAAAAACATCCATTTCATTCAAATTATTTTTCCCCTCTAGGTGAATCATTTCTTTCTGCTTGTTTTCAAGATTCTTTTCACCTTTAGCTTTCAGAAAATTGGCTATCATGTGCCTTAGCATGGATTCTTTTTGAAGTACGCTTCACACCCAGCATGGAGTCCAACACGGGGCTTAAACTCATGACCCTGAGATCAAGACCTGACCTAAGGTCAAGAGTCAGATACTTCACTTACTGAGCCATTCAGGCACCCCAGCATGGATTTTTTTATTTTAGGTTTATCCTGTTTGGGGTTCATTCAGCTTCTTGAATCTGTATGTTTACGTCTTTTGCCAAATTTGGGGGCATGTTCAGCCATATTTTTAATTGTTTTTCAGCCCCATTCTCTTTCTTTCCTTCTGGGGTTCCAATTACATGAATGTTAGATCTTTTGTTTTTGTTCCATGTGTCCCCAAGGCTTGTTCTTTTTTTTTCTTCAATTTTTTCTGTTATTCAGTCTGCAAGTTCACTGATTCTTCCTCCATCCTCTCCATTCTGCTGTGAAGACTATTTATTGGGTTTTTATTTCAGTGTTATATTTTTAAGTTCTAAAATTTCCATTTGGTTCTTCTTTATATCTTCCATATCTTCAATAAGACTTTCTATTTCTTTACTGTGACTTCCTATTTTTTCATACATTTCAAGTGTTTGTAATCGCTCATTGAACACTGCCTTTGTCAGATATCCTTGTTAGACAATTCTAATATCTGTGTTATCATGGCATCTGTAGATTATCCTTTCTCATTCAAGTTGAGATCTTTTCTTGGACAATTTGGGGGTATTATGAGACTGGATCTTATTTAAATCTTGTGTTTTCATAGGCATCCTCTTAACACGGTGCTAGCTGGGAAATAGGGTGGCACCCCTGCATTACTGTCGGTTGAGGGATGAAATTTTAGGTTCTTGACTCTGCCTCCCTTGAAACCCAGTGGGGAGGGGCTCCTTGTTACTAATGAGCAGGGATGGGAGTTGGGGATCCCCATGTGCTCTCCATTGATACAACCACAGGGGGACTGAGTAGTGGTGACTGTTTTAATACCCACTAATCCCCTCTAACTCCACACCAGTGAGGAAGGAAGGGAATCCCCATTATGGCCTGGTGAGAGTACACGTCTAGGCTCCCTACTTGGCCTTTGCTGGAGGGATGGAAATAGAGCCACGGATTTTCCTGTGGTATTGGGTTGGAGAACAGTGAGTAGTGTCTACAGATTCTTTGCCTTGCTAGGATGCCCTATTCCTGGCCCTTTGGCTATTAAGAGCAGCTTTTTCTCAGGGCTCTTTTTTTGTCTATACCCATTGGCATTTCTGAGTCGCACCTAATCTGAGATACATGTGGCAGAAAACCCAGGGAACCCACTGCCATGTCGATCCTTGAGTCCCAGTGCACCTACCTGATCTGCTTTCTTCTCTTTGCCTTTCACTCATTTGTTTACTTCACATATAATGTCCTGGGTTTTTAGCTATACTTAGTGGCAGGATAGGGAAACTGAGTACCTAGTCCATCTTTCTGGAAGTACAAATCACTTAAAGTTATTCTTATTTTACAAAATATCCCCAACTTATGAAAGAGAAGCCCCCTTATAACCTTGTTAATTAAATAGTTAACTTAAAAGCACAACAAAAACTTAGGTGGGTCCTATTTTTAAACGAAAATCAAAGACAAACATCTAGACCCCCTACTCCAACCCCTTTATTTTAACATGTAATAAAGTGTCTATCACATAGTAAGCTACTAATACTTGATAAATGAATTACATAAATCTGTATTTTTGTCTGAATACACATTATTTTTCCTGCTTTGTTAATTTTTAAAATATATCCCCCACTCAAGAACCATACTGTTCCCTGCCTTCCCACCTTTGGCTATGACCTCTTCACCCCACATCTCTTTCCTGAAATAACCCTTATCCTTCCAGACCCAGTTTACATATTTCATCTCCAAGTAGCTTCCCTTAACCCCACATTTAGGTTGGATGCCCCATCTATATGCTCCCATGGAGATCTGTGTTTTCCTATTAGCAGTTACCACTCTGCACTATAATCATCTATTTAATGTTGTCTTTTCAGCTAGTCTATTGGCTTTTAGAGGGCAGGAACTGATCTAAATGTTCACAGTTCTAGAACCAGCATCAAACAGTGCCTGCCGTGTTACAGGGACACAATAATTATTTGCTGAGTAAATGGATTACTCTTAACTTGACTTTCTCTTTGTACCCAGGGAAAATGAAAAAGAACTTCGGCTCTCAGACTGGTTTAATCCCAAGTAAGAAAGAATATTCTACACAAACACACACTAATGATAACAGCAACAACAACTCAATTTAAATGGGGGAGGATTTTTTTCCATCATCAAATTGTACCTATCCTGGGAGCTTTCCAGGCCTTGGCAGTTTTTAGTTTAAAGTCTTTTATATATAAACCTAGTGTCTATTTATCTAGAATCAGGCAATTGAGGGTCATAATGAGAAAACTGTTATCTAGTTTAATGTTCCTGGTTTTATTAGGAGAAAGAAAAAAAATCTTTTTAGTAACAGCCCAAAAATGCCATTAATGACTCCTCTTGATTTTGGCTTAATACTTGGGGGAAAATCTCATTCTTTTTTTTTTTTTTTTTTTTTTTTTTTTTTTTTTTTTTTTGAGGTGGGGGAGGGGCAGAGGGAGAGGGAAAGAGAGAATCTTTTTTTTTTTTTTAATTTTTTATGTTTATTTATTTTTGAGAGAGAGGGAGAGACAGAGCGTGAGCAGGGGAGGGGCAGAGAGGGAGACACAGAATCCGAAGCCGGCTCCAGGCTCTGAGCTGTCAGCACAGAGCCCGACGCGGGGCTCAAGCTCACGAACCGCGAGATCCTGACCTGAGCCGAAGCAGACGCTCAGCTGACTGAGCCACCCAGGCGCTCCAGGGGAAGACAGAATCTTAAGCAGGCTCCACACCCAGTGTAGAATCCAACACAGAGCTTGACACAGGGCTCAAACCCACAACCCTGGGATCATGACCTGAGCCAAAATCAGGAACTGAATGCTTAACCTAACCAACTAAGCTACCCAGGTGCCCCAGAGAATCTTATTCTTTATGATGGCTATCTAGTATTCTATTTTACGGCTACATACCATAATTTATTTAGTCAGTTCCCTATTGGTTTTGAATCATTTGCAGTTTGAAGGCTATTGTTAATAATGTTTTGATGAATATCTTTGCACATATATTTTTGTACACTCTTGTGTGAACTTATCCATATGATAAATTCCTATTGTAGCATCATTAGATTAAGAGATATAGACATTTTAGGAGCACTTGGGTGGCTTAGTTGGGTAAGCATCCAACTGTTGATTTCTGCTCAGGTCATGATTTCACAGTTTGTGATTCAAGCCCCCTAGTAGGCTCTGCACGGATAGTGTGGAACCTGCTTGGGATTCTCTCTCTCCCTCTTTCTCTGCCCCACTCTCTCCCACCTCCCCTCCCCTCTCTATCTCTCAAAATAAATAAATAAGCTTAAAAAAAAGATTTAAAAATTTTAAAAAATGAGATGCAGACATTTTAAATTTTTACTCAGGTTGCTAAATTGCCTTTTAATAATTATACCATTTATTTTTTAATCTATAGTGGGTGAATGTTAATTTTATTTGTTTTATAAATTTCGATTTTATTTTAGTTGTATCAAACATTTTTTTATTGGCAAAACTATTAGTTAAAATATCTCAATTCATTTTGCACTTCCATAATTATTGTTCAATTTGATCATCTTTTATATGTGTTATTTATATTTCATCTTCTGTGAATTCCTTTTTCATATTTATATTTTTTAAATAACCTTATGTGCACACAATTAGATTAATAACAATCTTTGTGGGGTGCCTGGGTGGTTCAGTTGGTTGGGCATCTGACTTCAGCTCAGGTCATGATCTCACAGGTTCGTGAGTTTGAGCCCCGCATGAGACTCTGTGCTGACAACTCAGAGCCTGGAGTCTGTTTCAGATTCTGTGTCTCCCTCTCTCTCTGTCCCTCCCTGCCTTGTGCCTTATTAAATTATTATTTAATAATAATTAAAAAAAATTTTTTTTAATAAAAAAATTTAAATAATAATCTTTGCTACATGACTCACTCTCATCATTAGGTTTTTCAAAGCCCAGTCATTATTTATTTATGTGCTTTCTCACTTATTTCTGTTTTCTTTTATTTATTTTGAGAAAAACAGAGCAAGCAGGGGAGGGGCAGAGAGAGAGAGAGGGAGAGAGAGAAAACCAAGCAGGCTCCGCACTGTCAGCACAGAGCCCGCCTCGGGGCTCAAATTCAGGAACCATGAGATCATGACCTGAGCCGAAACCAAGAGTCAGATGCTGAACTGACTGAGCCACCCAGGTGCCTCTCTTGCTTATTTTTAGTGAAACAAAACCTCAACATTCAATAACTTCAACATCCAGCTATCCACCTCTGTCTTTCCTAGGACCCCCATTCTGTCTCCTCACTCTCTAGCCTTGAAACAACCTCCATCCCGAATCCTGCTTCATCATCCCCTTGCTTTCTCTTGTTTTAAGTGTATATCTTCCATTTGTATTCTGGAACAAGTATATTTTAAAATTACAGCTGTTTGTAATTTTTTAAAGAAGATATAATACCACGTGTAATCTCCAGGGACTCATTTTGACCCTTAATATTAGATTGCTAAGATTCATCCAAATTGCATATGACTGTCATTCATTTTGATGGCGGCGTTACAGTTAACTATAGAAATATACCACAGTTTGCTCATCCCCTGCCTTATCAGTGGGCACTTGGACTGCGTCTAGATTTTTGTTATTTTGAGCCTTAAGAGGTAACACTCTTGTAAGAGGCCTTTCCAAAGAATGTGTTTACGATAGGAAAAAAAAAAAAAAAACGTAGATAAAATAGCTGCCCGATTCTTTCTCTGACCTCATCTTCAACCATTGTGTCCCTCACCCACTCCTCCAATCATACTGGCTCCTTGTTGTTCCTCAGAAACACCAAGCAAGCTCTCACCTCGGGACTTTGCACCTTCTGTGCTCTCTGCACGGACTGCTTACCCTCCAAGCAGCCAAATGGCTCATTCTCCCACTCCCTTCAAACGCTGTTTTATCAGTGAAGTCTTCTCTAGCTACTCCCTTTCTCCCTTACCCAGATTTATTGTTCTCAGTTGCTCTCCCCAACATCTGACATACTGTATATTTGCTTGCTTATTCATTTACTATCTGCCTTTCCCACAAGAGTGTGCCTAGAAAAAAAAAAAAAGCCTAGATATAGTAGGGGTTCGATATTTGTAGAATAGATAAATACATGAGATCTTCTGTCTAATTGAAGTGACAGCACCTTCATAACAATGTAAAAGTAGTGGGAGAAGGCACTGCACTTTATCATTAAGCATCATATTGGCTTTTAGTTTAAAATGAAATGACCTCTGCATTATGGAGATATGAGGGAAGAAGCTCATTTTTGGTTCTTATTAAGTACAAAAAACTATAAGCTTAAAGTAAATATGTGGGAATAAATGTCTCAGAATAGCCAAGAAAGTGTGAAAAAATAAGAAAGTTAAAAGGATTTTGCCTAGGGGCACCTGAGTGGCTCAGTTGGCTAAATGTCCAACTCTTGATTTCAGCCAAGGTCACGATCTCATGATCATGAGATCGAGCCCCACACTGGGCTCCACACTGGGGGTGGAGTCTGCTTAAGATTCTCTTTCCCCCTCTGCCCCACCCTGCTCGTGCTCTGTCTCTCATGCTCTCTCTCTCTCTCTCTCTCTCAAAAATAAAATTTTTAAAAGAGAGGGTTTTGCCTTAAATAGTCAAACATATTTTGACATCATTGTGATCAAATCAACATGGAATAGATCAAAGGAGTAGTAAATCCAGAATTAGGTCACAGTATGTATCAAAGTTGATATATAACAAAAATGGCATCTTAAAAATCAGTGAGGAAAGGACAGATTAGTTCATAAATTATACTGACACTATTGGTGATCTAAGTGGGGGCAAAATGGGGCATTAATCCTATGGCATAAAGATAAATTCCTGATAGACTACAGATTTAAGTGTAAAAAATAAAGCAATAAAAAAAATCTTGCTAGAAAATCAGTAAGACAGGGGCGCCTGAGTGGCTCAGTCGGTTTAGCGTCCGACTTCGGCTCAGGTCATGATCTCGCGGTCCGTGAGTTCGAGCCCCACGTCGGGCTCTGTGCTGACTGCTCAGAGCCTGGAGCCTGTTTCAGATTCTGTGTCTCCCTCTCTCTCTGACCCTCCCCCGTTCATGCTCTGTCTCTCTCTGTCTCAAAAATAAATAAACGTTAAAAAAAAATTAAAAAAAAAATCAATAAGACAACATGTAAAGTCTAGGTAAGAAGGAAATCCTCTTAATCCATGCTGAAAACCTACCACCTATTTAAAAAGATGTATTTCACTATATACAAATTTTAAACTTTGATTTGGTTTAAAAACAAATTAACAATTCAATAGAAAAACATGAAACTCACATTAGAGGTAGCCAACGCGTATAAGAAAAGATACTCAAGTTCACTAGAAATTAGAGAAATGTAAAATAATGTAGTAATGAGCTACTGGAATCTTTTTAAAGCCATAATCTAATAGTATAGGGAAAATGCTGGTGGGAAGGTGAAGTATTTCAGCCTTTTAAAAAATAATTGGGTACAAACTATGAAAGATGAACACATGAGGTTCCTGGGTGGCTCAGTCAGTTAAGTGTCTGACTCTTGATTTCGGCTCAGGTCATGATCTTGAAGTTTGTGAGTTAGAGCCCCACATCAGGCTCTCCCCTGCCACTGTGGAGCCTGCCTGGGATTCTCTCTCTCTCCCTTTCTTTCTGCCCCTCCCCTGCTCACACGTGTGCACACATGTGCTTGCACTCTCTCTTTAAAAAAAATATTTTTTAATGAACATACATATACAGCAATCCTATTCCTGGGACTAGCCATTAAAAATAACAGCAACAAGGGGAGCGTGGGTGGCTCAGTCTGTCGAGCATCCGACTTCAGCTCAGGTCATGATCCCACGGTTCATGGGTTCAAGCCCCACATTGGGCTCTGTGTTGACAGCTCAGAGCCTGCAGCCCGCTTCTGATTCTGTGTCTCCCTCTCTGCACCTCCCCTTCCCATGCTCTGTCTCTCTCTCTCTCTCTCTCTCTCTCTCAAGAATAAACATTAAAAATTTTTTTAAAAGATAATAGCAACAATACCTAAGGACATAAGATTAAGGTTTGTTGCATCAGTTTTTATAATGACAGACATTCCAGGAATAAAATGTATATACCTAGTCATAAGAAAATGGCTAAACAAACTGTCCACACCTTGGAATATTATGCAGCCATTACAAAGAGTGAATAAGAACTAGTCCAGATAACCTGGAAGGATTCCCACAAGGTTGTGATGAGTAGAAAGACAAGCTGCAGGAAAGTATGCATTATCTCATCATAATAAACAAGATTTTTAAAAAATTTATTTACTTATTTTTGAGAGAGTGAAAGAGAGAATTCGTGCATGAGCGAGGGAGGGGCAGAGAGAGGGAAAGAGAGAACCCCAAGCAGGCTCCATGCTGTTAGCCCAGAGCCTGACTCTGGGCTCGATCTCACCAACCGTGAGATTATGACCTGAGCCAAAATCACGAATTGGACGCTCAACCTACTGAGCCACCCAGGCGCTCCAAAATAAACAAGATTTTTAAAGCCTGCATATGTGTGTGTACTTATGTATGTGTGCATATTGTGCACATGTTATCTATACAATTGGATATGAATATGGAGGGAAAAAGAAAAGAGCACAGATGAGGCTGCAAATATGGCAGGCCAGCGGCTAGGAAGAGGAAAGTGGAAAGCTACGTGACGTGATGCAGGGGTAGATGTGGGAAACATACACCCTGGAAATGCTCTAGTACTCTCATGGTTCTGTCTGCTTATGGTATATTTATCTCTGCTATATCACTTTAGCTTCTTACACTTTATAGACTCATGCACAGTTCCTTAAAACTGTATATAGGTCAATATAGCCTTGATTTACAGGAAGAGTCCCCATCCTCTCTCTCCAGATCTATTTTTCGAACAAATTATAACGTCCCATATTACTGTCATGAATCCCATCTCAGCAAATCTTAGGAACACCTTCTAGCATTGAAATCACTTCTAATTCAGTGTAGCACCTATTCTCTTTTTATTACGAATGTGGATATCTTAGCCCATATATATGATTTCCCTCCTTCGTTAGTATACTTCTTTGTAAGTCACACCTATGATAGTCTACAGTACTATGACACTTGAGCATACTATCTGTGTACCTTCCTTCTGCAAATTTTCATTGTAAGCAATATACTTATGAGCAGGTCATTTTGTATCCTGTTGAACACCCTCTGCTTGGGCATGGTGAGGTATTTCCTAAGCTCCTCAGATACTGAATCTATCAGGGTATGAGAGAAACAACTCAACTAAGATGACGTAACTTTAGTGAAGGAATGGTTGGCAGAGATTGGAACAAGGTTAAGAGACCCAACAAAGGACATGGAAGCATCCAGAGGCTTCAACAGTAAGAAGCTCTTATCACCCTCGGCCCAAAGGGACAAGGGAAGGGATGGTGCTCCTGGAGACCAGAGATTTCTGGAACCATGAAAGAGCTGCCCAACAGAAGCTGTAGCTGCATATGGACACAGCCACTGGCAAGATCTCAACAAAGCTGGGAGAGAAAAGAGGAAAAGAGACAATTTGTTTTCCTGCCCTCTGATCTTACGTGGGTACCTCCCATTAGCAGAACCCACTGCAAGCCACAGGGCAGGGAACATTGGGTGATCAGTCTGCTCCCAAGGCAGGCCAGGTAGAGAAGGCTAAGGATGGACAGGGGAATTGTAAATGGAGAATAACTAACACAATCCACCTTTCTGACTTCGATGGAGAAGCTCATGTTCCCCAAACACGAGAAACAAAGTCACATCAGCTAGCGGGTATCATCGAGGTGATGGAAATCTAGCCATATTCCCACTGGAAACCTAGATCGTAACATCTGCCATCTCTAGTATTCTTCATGTAAGGTGGCAAAGGGGAGAAAATAATTAACATAGCGGATCACGACTACAGTCCTACCTCTGTAGCTGTTCAGGAGGCGGGCAACAAAAGGAGGCAGTTAATAATCACCATTCCATGGTTTCTTTATCCTCTGCTAATCCCTTTGATGGTCAGAGTTTCTATTCGATAGGGTTACTCAAACCTCCATCCCTGGAGAGTCTGGTTCCCTCAGTGGTCTGACCTTATTGAGTTGCCCCAATTTCCCACTGACCATTATTACTGGAAATGAGGTAGCTGGGGGCACTCCCAGAGAGTCCTTTGCATTCCATATGAAGCCCTGCTTGCCATCCTTGTATAACCGCATCTTCCTATCTTCTCGGTGATGAAGATCAGTCATGCCAACCAGTACAGTAACGCCATTTTCTGCCTGTTGGCTCAGCAGCATGGGGAACCATCAGTTTCACAGAACCATGACTTTCTCCCTAGAGCAAAGACTCCTCCCTTGGGAACTGAGAACTCTAAGCACCCTGGACCCAAAGTCACAACAACAGCAAGCAAACATTCTATAAGTGAATTATTGGATGTAATCGTGAGCAGGGACATCCTCACATCCACCTTGTTTTGTGAACTGTGCATTCTAGCTTTGGAAGGTACAGTATCTCACGCTGCTCATTGAGTCAAAGCGGGAATGGCGAACTACTACAGAAAAGTACCTCGGCCTTTTCAGGGAGTTGTCTCGGAACTAACACTGAAAATGAGATTTCCCTGGCTAGTCCACATTCTACCAGGCCAGGTGCCTCAACACAGGGAGGCACACAGACCAGAGAACTTTGTGGAAGTGGCCAACTGCCACACTACTCTCGCTATGAAATGGGTAGCTTAGACAGAGGCAAAGTTATGTGTGATACGAAGGCAACTAATAAGATATTCTGCAAGTCAACAAAGTTGGCAGATTTGTAGGTATGAAAAGCAAATCCCTACCCAGAACATAAAACGTTCCCCTGAGGGAAAAGTGTTGCCCCTTTCTTTATGGGGTCTAATATAATCAACCAGCCATCATTTGGCTGGCTGGTTCCCATGGGAAATGGTGTCACCCTGTGGGCTCCAATTGGCCCCTGCTGTTGGCAAGCTGGGTGCTCAGCACTGGCTCTAGCTTGGTCTTAGCAATGGGATGTCCATGTCACTGAGGCCGTGCATAATCCCCATTGGACTCCAAGTAGCTGGGGCCACTTTATACAGAGACACTAAGTCAGTCACAAGGGAGACCGGGCAAGGTGTCTGACTGACACCCAGAGGGCAGATTATCTTATCCCCCTGATTGCTGAGCATGTCCTTTGCAGAGAATGCCCCCTGGGCAGCATTTACCTTCCAGGTAAAGAGTTTCGTACCTGTAAGAGAAACCTAATGACTCTAAATCTCTTCTACTCCTTCCTCTTCTGTTTTATCAAATAATTTCTAAACACAAGTTTTTAACTGCCTTCTGCTTTCAGAGGCTTTTTCTTTCGTTCTAATAGCAAATCTTTAATCTTCAGACCCTTTCCCATTCTCAAATAGATACTGATTAGCCTCTGTGATGTGCCTAATTTATAAGCATCATCACTGTGATAAGGGTACATCTGTCCAATATTAAAGTGGAGTCTGAGACTTTTGAGTCAAATACAAGTGTATGGCCATAAATTCTAAGTATAAGAAGGGTTTAAAAGTAAATGTATAAAAAAAAACAAATAAATGTGTAAGTTTGAAAAAATCCTTAAAATAGTAAAAGGGGGTACTTTTCAAGAATTTTGTTATTATTATTAATGTACTATTAAGGGTTGCCAAATTCTACCCTTGTCTGGGTCTAGATTTGTAATTAAAACCTGTAATTACCAAAAGCAAAATGGCTTCACACTTTGTGTTCAATTCCTTCCAAAATGAAGGCCTTAAGTTGCTTTATTTTTATTTTTATTAAAAATTAAAAAAAAACTTTAACATTTATTTATTTTTGAGAGAGAGAGAGCATGAGCAGGGGAGGGGCAGAGAGAGAGCGAGATACAGAATGTGAAGCAGGATCCAGGCTCTGAGCTGTCAGCACAGAGCCTGATGTGGGTCTCGAACCCACAAACCATGAGATCATGACCTGAGCTGAAGTCGAAAGCTTAACCTACTGAGCCACCCAGGCACCCTGGCCTTAATTTGCTTAAATAGTTTAATGTCCTCCCTCCAACCAAACTGTTTATTATTACTTTTGTTTCCTTATTTTGTTTTTTGGGGGGTTGTTTATTATTCCTAATTCTGCTTCTGCTGTTATTTTGTTATTATTAGAAGCAAATGTAATATCATCTCCCCTTTTGGACTAATCTTATTTTCTTCCAGGTTGCACTGATGGGCCTACAGCATTAGGAAGGGTAGAAAGAAGGTACTCTAGGAAAAGAAAAAGGAAGAGAAAGATGAGAAAGGGGTAAAAAGAAAGGAAGACATAAGCAGACAGTAGTGCTTTCTGTTTTAGGCAATAATCAGAGAAATGTTCAGACAACGAGCTGTCGGTTTAAGCTATAGTCAGAGCTCAAGGAAAAAAATCCCTGGGCTCAAAAGGCAAGGTTTTTTTGTGATCTCCACACCCAACATGGGGCTCAAACCTACAACTCCATGCTCTACTGACTGAGCCGGCCATGCGCCCCTCAAAAGGCAGTTTGGTATAATGACCAAAGCACAGATTCGGAAAGCCAACTGGCTGATTATGAATCCTGATTCTGCCATTTATTAGCTGTGTGACACTAAGTAATTTACTCAACCAATCTGCGCCCAAGTTTCTTCATATGAAAAATAGTGATAATGATGGAATTTATATTGTAGGACATTGCAAGGATTAAATAAATAGTGTAAAGCACTTAATCACCATGCCTGGCACTTAGTTAAGTACTTTATAATGATTAGCTACTATCACTTGGAGGACAACATTTGCTGTCATAATAAGTGGTACTCTCTTAATCGTTTTTCTTGTTTGTTCAACAGAAAACGTCCTGATGTGAAAACGACAACTGATTGGTTTGCGCCGATCATCTGGGAAGGAACTTACAACAGACAAGTCCTGGAAAAGTACTACAAAAGGCTGAACATTACCATAGGCTTGGCTGTATTTGCTACTGGAAAGTAGGTGCTACTAACATTCATCCTTTTTTATTTTGGAAACATATGGATAAGCACCCGTGAACTCTCTACATCCAAATAGCCACTCATAATTAACCCTAATCATGATTTCTGGCTGGTCTGCATAATTATTTGTAGTGGTTATTTTCTCCAGCCATGGCTGATTTCTTAACACGACTTGGAATCTTTCTATTAATATCCATTTAGCTCACTTTTCCTTTCTTCTCAATAAATTTTATGGCTTTTCTCAGCCCCCGCTCCCCAAGCTCACTACACCCTCTTTCGCTAACCAACACAGTTAAGCTCTAAATGCAATTTCTACCCACCTTCCTACTGGTAGTTCTTTAGCAACAATGTTCTCCTGCAAGTTTAAGTGACATGTCTTCTCCTGATGAGTTTTAGCAAAGTGAATGTTTGGTCTTCCGTGTTTCACAGGTTTGTGGATCAGTACCTGGAAAAGTTCCTCCAGTCTGCTAATAAGCACTTCATGACTGGCTACAATGTTATCTTTTACATCTTGATGGATGACTTCTCCAAACTACCTCCCATAGAGTTAGGGCCCCTTCGAACATTTAAACTATGTACTGTACTCAAACAACATGTGTGGAAAGACTTCAATTACATATACATGAAAAACTTGGATACGTACATCATAGAACATATCCAACATGAAGTCGACTTTCTCTTCAGTATGACTGTAAACCAGATCTTCAAGAATGACTTTGGGGTGGAAACCCTGGGCGAGTCTGTAGCTCAACTCCATGCATGGTGGTATTTTAGACATGCTGAAAATTTCCCCTATGAGAGAAGACCTAAATCAGCAGCTTTCATCCCTTTTGGAGAGGGAGATTTCTATTACCAGAGTGCAGTTTTTGGTGGCACACCCCGTGAGGTTTTAGCCTTCATTAAAGAATATCAAAAAGGAGTTACCAGTGACAACAGAAATGGACTCAAGAGCATATATGAACATTATTTAAACAAATATTTGTTTATCAATAAACCCACTAAGTTGTTATCACCAGAATACAATTGGGATCCAAATTTTAGAACTCCCCCACAAATTAAACATGTGAAGATAGCATGGCATTCAAAGAGCATTTGATGGTTGTATCATTAGGTTTATGGATTAATAAGTGAATCACAATAATTCCTGAACTACGAAACATTAAACGTCTCCGTGTTTTTGGAAACTTACAAAAATGTGCAATCTTCCAAAATAAATTGTTTTTCTCCTTGCAGTTTTAAACCATCTAAATCTACCTAAATTGGAGTAAGAATAAATGGGTGTTAATTTAATATTAACGCACAGTGGTGTTATTAGCTACATATTATAAATAATGTGGAAATACTTTTGGAGGCACAAAATGAAGAAACACTCCTGGTTCAGAAAATAAAGATGGGTAGATGGATAGATAGATACACGTGTACACACACACACACACACACACACACACACGCACGCACACACACAATGTCAAAGGGATATATGTAAAGGGAAAAAATATTCATCAACTCACTCATTAAAAACTCTGTTTTTCAGTGTTGGGAGATACAGTGCTTGTAAGTATTCTCAATTAGCATTTAATCTGTCTAGTATCTGATTGAACTTAGGTGAACTAGAGACATTCTACCAAATACATCTTACTTTTATGGTTGCAATGATGTTGGGTGCATGGTTTTTAATGCTACAGGAATTTATTTATTTATTTATTTATTTATTTATTTATTTATTTATTTATGAGAGAGAGAGAGAGCGCGCGAGTGGGGGAGAGGGGCAGAAGGAAAGAGAGAGAGAATCCCAAGCAGGCTCCATGCTCAGCAGAGTCTGATGAGGTGCTTGATCCCACGACCCTGGGATCATGACCTGAGCCGAAATCAGGAGTTAGACACTCAACTAACTGGGCCACCCGGGAGCCCCAGGGACTCTTTTGTAAAGAGCTATCAACTTAACTCCATGGTAAATATATTCTTTTAGGTGCAGTCAGGGATAGAAAAAATGTTAAGATATATAGAGAGAGACTATACATTTTATAAAATTTACCTCAAGCAGCCTATGGTCCAGCAGGGGAGATAAAACTATAAATATCTCTTTTGGAAATTTAGAAGTGCTAAAACGTAAGGAAGACATGGCCAAACTGCCGTAGTGGTTCAAGAAAGGAAGCAACTACCTCAGAAGAACCTTTACTATGTAGTCACATCAACATGCTTCCACAAATGAATGAAGCATTATAGCATAGTTATAATAACTGGAGGTTCTAAAGTCACAATAAGTTATTATTTTAATCCTTTTTTGTTGGCTAAAAACTAAGGTTTAGTAAGTGTTCTATAAAAGATAAAGATTATTGGCTATTAAAACACTAAAATTGGGGCACCTGGGTGGATCAGTGGTTAAGTGTCCAACTTCCACTCAGGTCATGATCTTGCAGTTCCTAAGTTCGAGCCCCACATCAGGTTCTGTGCTGACAGCTCAGAGCCTGGAGCCTGTTTCAGATTCTGTGTCTCCCTCTCTCTGTCACTTCCCCACTCATGCTGTCTTTCTCTCTCTCAAAATAAATAAACATTAAAAAAGTATTTTAAAGAACACTAAAATTATAAAGGAATATTTTTTTTTTAATTTTTTTTTCAACGTTTATTTTATTTTTGGGACAGAGAGAGACAGAGCATGAACGGGGGAGGGGCAGAGAGAGAGGGAGACACAGAATCGGAAACAGGCTCCAGGTTCTGAGCCATCAGCCCAGAGCCTGACGTGGGGCTCGAACTCACGGACCGCGAGATCGTGACCTGGCTGAAGTCGGACGCTTAACCGACTGCGCCACCCAGGCGCCCCTTTAAAGGAATATTTTTAAAGTAATTTTTAAATGTTTATTTTTGAGAGTGAGAAAGTGCACGTGCATGAGTAGGGAAGGGCAGAGAGAGAGAGAGAGAGAGAGAGAGAGAGAGACAGATGATCTAATAGCATAGAGGCCGATGTGGGGCTCCAAACTCACAAACCATGAGATCGTGACCTGAGCTGCAGTTGGACACTTAACTGACTGAGCCATCCAGGTGCCCCTGTAAGTAATATTGATAACAATTATGGCAGGCAGATCTTACGATGGTCCCCAATAACCCACCTATCCTGGTGTTCCTGTCCACCCCCTACCACCCTTACTTTCAGTATGAGCTGAATATAGTGACTTGCTTCTAACCAATAGAATATGACAAAGGTAATGGACTATCACTTTCATGATTAGGTTACATCAGATTGTCACCTCTGTCTTACTAGCTGACTCTATTTATTACTGCCTTTGACTAAGCAAGTTGAAATGTTGGAGAATCCTCACAACAAGGAACTGAGGGCCGTCCTCAGACAACAGCCAGAAAGGAAGTGAGGCAATAGCCAGAATAGTCAGTCCAACAACCCTCAAGGAACTACATGCTGCCAACAACCACGTACATGAGCTTGAAAGATCTTTCCCTAGTTGAGTCTTCAGATGAGACCTTATCTCCGGCCAACACCTTGATTGCAGCCTTGTGAGAGAGCCACAAGTAGAAGATCCAGCTAAGTCATGCCCAGATTCCTGGACCACAGACATTGAGAGATAATGAACATGCGCTGTTTTAAGTTTGTTACGTTGTTTTAATTTGTTATGGATAAATAGCTAACTCATACAGATTTTGCACTTGAAAGTGGGGTGGTGACATAAAAAAATACCTACAATTGGAGTGGTTTTGGAATTGGGCAGTGGGTGGAAGCCGGAAGGATTTTTTAGAGCATGATAGAGAAAGCCTGAATTGCTTTGAACAGATGGTTGATAGAAATCTGGACTTGGAGGACACTGCCAGGGGCAGCTCAAAAGGAAGTGAGGAACATATTTCTGGAAACTGGAGGAAGGGGGATCTTTGTGACAACACTGCCTACACCAGTTATATGGAAAACAGAATGTGTACCCATGAGCTTGGTGATACAAAGAGATTTCTAAGCTTTCTTCTTGCTGTTTGTAGTAAAATGTGAGAGGAGAGGGGGATTGAGGAAAGAACTGTAAAATAAAATGGGCTTCTCTCTTTGAGACTTTTGGTCCTAGACAAGAGACATAGACCCACTTTTCCCTGTTATTCACCTCCAAATACAACTAAAAACTCCTGGAAATAATGACAGACAACCATAAGAGGATTCTGAGAGGTAGAGGGAAGATAGCAGATTGGCTAGGGACCTTCGGACTTGAGAAGCAATGCCCCATTCCCTGAGAGTTCTTTCCTCTCCCATGTACCTCAGAGTGGGCACTGGAAAGGCACACAGCTCAGAACCACCAAAAAGCACAGACAGAAAAAGCTGTAGGAAAAGCCAGCTTTTTTTCTGGCTGAAGGCCCAGGAAAGAGGCAGCTCATCAGAGACTTAGTGAGGAACCCCATCTCCACGCCTTATCTGGCTGGCCTACTCTATCTACACCAGCAGCACCCGCAAAGAGCAGGCAGAGAATTCCTCCCAGGAGCGCCGAGAGGCCCAGTGTCTCCCGGCCCTCCACAGAGCAGTAGAGGGAGACCCATTCCGGCATCTCCTGGCCTC